GATATTTTGTTTAAGTCTTTCTTTGTTAAAGAAAAAATTATACATAAACATACATAAGTATATATTTTTAAGCCAATATCTTCCACTAGTTTACGGACACAAAAATATTCAGACCATTATTTTGAATTGAAAGGTCTTAATAACCTCTACCTTTTAAACAATGAGTATAATGTTTTCTAGAAAAACTTATTTACGATGATAAATTCATTGATTCGGAGTTTTAAATTATCAGTAAAAAATATTTTAGTATCATATTGCCATTATTATATTTCAATAAACGTTCGGAAAAAATTATGGAGTAATTTTTTTTTTGTTCCAGAAAATGGAAAAGAAGCACAGCAGTAACACATTTATAATTAAAACTTGCAATAATTTTTTGAATAGTAAATTTTCGGTATATTTTTACTTATTTTCAATAGTTTTTTTAAATAGTAGGTAAAATTATAATAGTTTTTAATTAAAAATATCGTAAGTCAAAAGGTGATTTATTTTAAAAATGTGAATTTCATTTATTTTCGGCTTCAAAATATAGCAAATGAAGCGTTAAATAAATTAAAAAATATTCCTATGTATGTATATTAGACTGCATCACTCCCCATATAAAAAAAAATCGCTACTATTTTTCCATTAGAATTATAAAATCTATTATATTTTAAGACGTCCACCAAAATATTTCCGAAAAATATTAAGATTTAAGTGAGCTGAACCGATTTGAAAATACCTCCAAAAATGGAGTTTTTTATGAATAAAAATAGTTTCTTAAAGATTTGTTTTGAAAAAATCCCCTCAAATGACAAAACGGCTTAAGCTTAAAAAATTTGCAGAAAAATATTAAAAAAAATTTTTAAAAATTTTGAATGGAATCGTAATGATGAGATTTTTGATGCTGTTTTTTAACTTTTTTTAAAGATTGCTAAAACAAAAACTTGAATAACTGAACCTAAACTCTTCCGATTTAGACTGAAGAGGTGTCATTAGAAAGGTATTTTCTCTACCTTTTTATTTCTTTGCTAATAAACTCATTCAAAGGATGAAAGAGAAAGGTAGGATGACGGAACGTCATGGTATTTGAAAAAAAAAATATTGGGACACGAATGACTTTTGGACAGAAATAAAAACAGTGTGAAAATACCTTTCAACTGAGATCCCATAAGTCTAAATCATAATAGTTTTGGCCCAGTTATTCAAGTTTTTCGTAAATCAATCTTTGAAAAAAGTAAAAAAACAGCATCAAAAATCTCATTCTTACGATTCCGTTTAAGAGATTTTTAAGTATTTTTATGCAGATTTTTTAAACTTAATCTGTTTTGTCATCTGAGGGGACTATTTTTAAAAAGTTCTTTAAGAAACTATTTTTATTCATAAAAAACTACATTTTTGGAGGTATTTTCAAATCGGTCCAGCTCACTTAAATCTTAATATTTTTCCGAAATACTTTGGTGGACGTCTTAAAATATAATAAATTTTGTAATCCCGGCGGAAAAACTGCAACTTTTTTTGGTGATGCAGTCTAATGTATATACGAGTATTTGTATTTTTTTTTTTTGTAAATACATTTATACACTTTAAATTATATGGAAATTGTGCGTATGTGGGTAAAATTTTTCACAAATGTGTTTACTTGGCGCAATGAAATGAAACTGCTCGTCAATTTATGCAATAATTTCAATTTAATATTTTATTATTTTTTTTTTAATTTTTAAAAACTTTTTGTATTGCCCATTTTACATTTAATTAATAAAAACTTCCGAATGTATAAATCTGTGATTTTGTGAATATGCAAAAATGTTTACGTTTGTTATTTGTAGCCAACAGTTATGGTTATTTAATATACAATATCTATTCAATTAACTGCATTTAAGCTCTGATTGCTTCATTTCCGGGAAGTGAAATTTCTCTACAATACCGGTTTAGTTATGAGTTTTTTTTTCTAAAAAATTTCCTAGCTTTTAAAACAGCAAAAACCAGTTATTATATAATTATTTTTTTTTTTGTTGAAAACACACCGTTATAAAGTAATCAAATTTTAAGCGCCTAACTGCCTTAAAAAACAGTTCATTTCACACTTCAGTTCACCTACGGATGCTGCTCTGCAATTTTCCGCGTCACAGCTGACAGGTCGCTATGGCGTGAATGTTTTAGAAAAAAGCACAAAAAAGAAATAATCAAAAAATTTGTAACGATGCGCTTTGTCTATTGACACATGCCACATATGCCACGTACGTACGTACGTACGTATCCAAATGAACGGGTGCGTGCTCTATTTTAAACACACACAATTGCCTTTGTAATGCCTAGAAACCACCACGCTATGTTTAATGTTCTCTATGCAATGATAATAATTCAGCCAACACCGTTAGATAAATTAACTCAAACGCGGGCATTCAACCAGCAGAATTGAGTTAATTATTTGATATTTGTATTTAAATACACAACTCAAGCGAAAATTTAAAATGCAGTTAAAGAAAAAA